CGCAACCCCCGGGGGAGGGCAGCAGTAGTCCTGACCCCATCCCCTATACACCCGCAGCCGGCTCGTGCACTGGTTGAGTATACCGGACAAGTACCGTGCTACACGGCCGGTTCAGTAGAGAACCGATAACAACCGGCTTGCGGTAAAAGTTACCCCTGACCCCTCCCTCGATACGCGCGAGAGAGGGTACAGTGCATAACGAGGCTCGGTAAACGAGCCGGCCTGGGCGGCGCCGTCGACCGAGTCGGGGCGGGGGGTTGCGCGGGGTGTTGTGCCGCGAGCAGGTGATAGGGCGCCGGCGACGCCGCGCCCGATAAGGCCGTGGGTCATGTCCCGGCCGTCACAGCCGGGGAGATACTACCGCCCGCGCCCCCTCTTATTGATCAGCGGCGGCACCCGCCCGCGGCCGCGACCCTCGACCCGCGACCCGCGCGACACGTTCTTTCAAACGCCGTCAGTCACCATTAGGGGCGGCGCTGATGTCCTTTTGGCGGGGCGGGCGCGGCGGGCGCCTCTCCACGGCGCCGTGCCGTCCGGGTCGTTCATCCCGCGCGGCCAGGCAGGCAGGCAGGCGGCCGATGATTGCGGCCGTGCATTGATTATGAGTCGTCCGTCGGAGCCCCGGCCGCCCCCCGCAGGCCCCTCTGGGGTCGCCAACCCCTCGGGCCCACCCGCCGCTCAGGTGCTCCTCCTGCAGAGGGGCCACTTCCGCGAGCAGCAGAGAGTCATAATAAGGTGGGGCCAATGAAAGATTCACTGTGTGTTCTCGTTCCGGCCCGGGCAGCCCGCCTGCACCCTCCCTTTGTCCGCCACGCACCCGCGCATCGCACTCGGACCAGCATCGATTGAGTGCTTGATTGATTCGCACGTGCCGCTCATTCCGCTTAGAGAGCGGCTGCTCAAAATGTTGTCTGTATCGCGTGATGCGCGGTGGAATCGATAGGCAGGAGGGGCGCCGCCGCCCTTACGCGTCTGACGCTCTGTGTGAGATCTTCGCCATAGGGGGGGAGGGCGGGGGCACCTGCCACACACGCCGAAAACAGCGAGCGGTTAGCCCCTCCTTTCTCTTAGCCTGGGGCGGAGCGAGGCGGCCTTGAATGGCACCTCTGGGGAGGGGGTGGGGGTTGTGGGGAGGGGTGCCAGCGCGGTTTGCACGGGGGGTTGGGGAAGGCAGCGGCGGCGGCGGTTGGCGCACGAACATTTACCAAAGGGTTGTCGGAGCCCGCAGCCTGGGCAACCGCAAAAAGAAATATACGGGTGAAATTGTTTTGCCGATAGAACATTACCGAACCGACGTTTCGGGAAACCGGGAAAGTGCTCAACATGTCGCTCTGTTGCAGACCGTCATCCTCGAGGATCCGCCCCCGTCGGGGTCACGCGCCAGGGCGCGGGGGCCCAGCCGGCAGTACCTGTGCGACAAGGTGTTCGAGGAGGATGCCACTCAGGTGGGTAGATCAGCGTGCACCTGTTGAGGACGCGGCCGCGGGGTCGCCGCCCGGCTGGGGGCCCCGGGGAGCATCATGCAAGGTTGACCACCCGGAAGGGCGCGACCCCTCGCCCATGACTAATTGACACCCCCCCCCCCCTCAACCGTGGGGTCGGGGCGGACCACTGACCTCGTGACTGTCCCTGCCGGCAGGAGGAGGTGTACGCCAGCACCACGCGGCCCCTCGTGGACGCCGTGCTGCGCGGCTACAACGCCACCGTGTTCGCGTACGGCGCGACGGGGGCGGGCAAGACGCACACCATGGTGGGGCCGGAGGAAGCCGACGACCCCAGCCAGCAGGGCGTGATGGTGCGCGCGCTCAACGAGCTCTTCGGCCAGGCCGCGCACCTCGGCGACAAGGTGACGCTCTCCTACCTCGAGATCTACAATGAGAACATCCGCGACCTGCTCAACCCCTCGGGGCCCACGACGTCGGGGGGCTCGCTGGAGCTGCGCGAGGACCAGAGCGGCGGCGTGCGCGTGGCGGGGCTCACCGAGGCCAACACGCGCTCCACGGCGGAGGTGCTGCAGCTGCTGCACCGGGGCAACCGCGCGCGCACCGTGGAGCCCACCGCGGCCAACAAGGCCTCCTCGCGGAGCCACGCGCTGCTGTCCGTGCGGCTGACGCGCAGCGCCGCGCCGGGCCGGCCGCGCGCCCTGAGCGCACCCAGCGGCCGCCTGTACATGATCGACCTGGCGGGGTCCGAGCGCGCCTCCAACACCAAGGTGAGTACGCTCCCGCCCTGGTCCGGCGCTGGGGTTTCGGGTCCATCTTGAACCCGTGGCCATTTGTTTGTTTGTTCTGGCAGAACCGCGGCAAGCGCCTCCAGGAGGGGGCGCACATCAACCGGTCGCTGCTCGCACTCGGCAACTGCATCAACGCGCTGGCGGGCGGAGCGCGGTACGTCAACTTCCGCGACTCGAAGCTGACCCGACTGCTCAAGGACGCGCTCACCGGGGACACGCGCGCCGTCATGATCGCGCACGTGTCGCCGGGCGAAAAGCACGGCGACGAGACCAGGAACACCCTGGCCTACGCGCACCGCGCGGGCACCATCACCAGCAGGGCGGGCCAGTACCGGGACATCGTGTCGGACCTGCGGGCCGAGATCGCGCGCCTCCGGGCCAAGCTGGCCGAGGGGGAGCTCGCCGCCGTGAGGTGAGCTCGAGCGCCAGGCGGGGTAGGCACGCCTGTCGCGCACCGCTGCGTTGCGGCGCTGCCTTTGCCTACCCACCAGGGGTCCTACCGGTCACGCTCTTCTCTCCCCGCGCAGCGCGCCAGTGTCGCCGAGTGCGGCCGTGATCTCGATGGCCACGACCTCTGCGGACGTGGGCGTGTCGACGCACGGTGGAGAGGGCGGCGGGGCGGCCCTGACGCACCTCCGCGACGACCTGGTGGCGACGTTCCGGGAGCAGATGCGTCTGCGTAGGACGCTGCTGGACATCGACGCGCAGCTGCTGCGCCTGGACTCGGAGACGGACCGCCAGCAGATGATCCTGTCGCGCGCCAACAAGCTGTACCAGGGCCAGGCGGGCGCGCCCAGCACGGCGGGCACCACGCGCACCTCCGTCCGCGGCTACAGGGACGTCCCCCGCGGCCCCGGCCGAGGCGCGCCGTCCACCATCGCGGACACGGGTGAGTTCGACGCCATTGTCAGACGCATGGTGAGGTGACGGCGAGGAGGAGGTGATGACGCAGACAGCAGTAACGAACGCTCCGTCCCGTTGCAGAGACATCCGACGGGGAGAGCGCGTCCCCGCCGGGGTCGCCCATGCGGCGCGCGCTCCACGCCCTCGAGTCCATCGAGCACGAGCGCAGCCGACTCACGGACCTGCGCGCCAAGACGGAGCGCGACCTGGAGCGGGCGCGCGGGGAGGCGGCGCGACTGGAGGACGTGAGTTGGGGGCACTTCTCCATGGGCTGGGGGTTGGGAGAGTCGACAAATGGTATTGAAAAGCTGAGAAAAGAAGGTCGATTTCCCCACTGCCTTGATGGCGGGTACCGCGCCTGTGCTGACGGCTACACATTATGCAACCCGCGAAGTCGACTCAGAGGGGCGCCAACTCCTCACTCCGAGTCGTACGGCCATAGGCCGTGGACCTTCGAGAGGAACTAACTCTTCTCTCAGGTATTCTAGCACCCGTCCAATGGACGGGCACTATTTAATCAGGCAGTGAGAGCGGACCTTCCCGGTGGTGTTCAGGAATCTCGGCCTATATATGCCACTCGGGAGCGTGCCGAAACGACAGCGAGAGCTAAGCGTGGCTACAATGCACTAGAGCCCTAGAGGATTCTCTACAGTGCGCCTGCGCGCGCCCCCAACAGGACGGTTGGGCTGCCTACCGCGCGGCGCTAACGTCCTCTCGATGTCCTGCTCGGTCGGTCTCAGGGGCTGCCGCTGCAGGCCAGCTCCGCGGAGGAGCGGGAGCTGCTGTCGCTGGTGCTGCGGGTGCACGAGCTGGAGGCGGAGCGCCTGGCGCTGCAGGGCGAGCGGGAGCTGCGGCGGCACGAGCTGCGGCGCCGGGACCTGCTGCTCATGCGCTACGACCGGCAGCGACACATCTGCGACGAGATCATCACGCGCCAGCGGAGGCTCATTGAGGGTGAGCGTCCTGTTAAACTTGAACAAAGAAAGTGCTGGGTGAAAAATTTTATACAAATTTATATTCACAATGACTTCAACTCTGCAGACGGCAGGCTGATGCTGCCGCCAGACCTGCACGACCTGTACCGGCTGTACCAGAAGGAGATTCACGCCGCCGCCTACTCCGCCTTCAGCCCGTACAGCGCCTACGGGCTGACGGACGCCTACGGCAGCCTGGGCTCCACGTTCACGGCCGACTCGACGGGCAGGGGGCTGTACACGGCGCAGCCGGGCAGCGATGCGGTAGGTTTGAAGTGTCGCGGGGAGGGGGGGGGGGGCGACGTTGGGTGTTGGAGCAGCGCAACCGCCCGCGGCCTCGAGACTATAACGCTTTGGTTGTGTCGCCAGATGGACGTGCGGACTTCGGCGAGGACCAGCGAGCTCCCGGCCATCAGGAGGTACGTTTTTGTTTGTGTTCCCGGTAAAGCATGTTGGTGGCGCTTGACGCCAAGTTGACCGCACCGCTCTGCCACGCAGGGGTGAGCGGATGTACCGCCGAGCGCCCAGGGGCCACGCCCAGCACGGCCAGGGCGGCCGCGACTCCACGTCGCGCAGCAGCGGCCGCTCCCCGAACAGGCAAGTAGTCAACCCCCGCGAACACTCGCGAACACTCTCGTGGCCACAGACTTGACTCTCGTCTCCGCAGCTCCAACGGCTCCGACTGGGAGGTGGCCACGCTAGCGACGCTGCCCTCCGTGATCGGCGCGGCCCCCACCGCCCCGGGCGGCTTCGCCGGCCAGCGCCCCGGCCGCGCCCCGGAGCCGGTCATCACCGCGAGGCCACTGCAGTTCCCGCCCATCAGGTGAGCGACGAGGGGCGGCTGTGGTCCCGGACACCTACCTGATGTTCGACCCGACTAACTTGCTGCTTTATTGGACAGCATCGCCGGCCACGGCACGCTGCGGCGCGCCGCCAGCACGGACAACCTGCCCTCGTCGGCGGAGAGGGCGCGGCGGCAGCACGACAGCCCTCCGGTGTCCTGAGCAGCGGGGGCGGGGGTGGCGACGGGGGAGG